TATACCCGGGGGGGGGGGGGGGGGGAGAAAAAAGAAAAGAATGGGTTGAAAATGCTTCCTCCCCTGAATATCACAGCAACCTTTTTACCTGAATTGAGCTCTTGCGACAGCCGGCGCCCATTGCTTCCCCGGCGTCCCTGGGCCCTCGGCGGGTCACCGTCGTTCCCTGAGGCCATGGCAGAAAGATGCTTGGGAGTATCAGCTTTACCTGGAGCGAGGAGAGACAGCGAGTGAACCAGGTTTTGGGCAGGCAGCAGGGACACGGGAGCCTCGCAGCCCCTTGCTCCCTCACATACCTCCCAGGCCAGCCTTCGGAAGCCCCTCTGGCTGAGCCAAGAGCTCAGAGGAGCAACACTACCTGCTTTTATCTCTGCCAGAGACCTGGCTCCTCCCTTCCCGGCACACTCGCTCCCTGATTCCTAGCCACACCAAGTCCCTTGCCTAGATTTCTCCTCTCTTCCTGACTTCTGAGTAACGCGTTTACAGGAGGGAAGTCTCCTGTGCCAGCAGAGGGAAGTCGCCCAACTCCCTACTCCACTCCACCACCTCCCCAGCCTTCCTGGAACCCTCCCAGCATCCTCTGACCCGTGCAGCCAGGGCCACGGGCTGCACCGGCTCTTACTCAGCCCAGGCAACAGCAGCATCTGCAGCGGCTGCACGCTGGGATGAAAGCAGAAATCACAACGCAAAGGGCTCTAACGACTCCCCGGCTGCACCCGGAGAACGTGTCTGGGAGCTGAGCCACGGGGCTCCGCTGCTGCCCGAAACGCTGCAAACCGACCTGCAACCACGACGGTTCAAAGTGCGGCAGGAGCAAACCAGCCCGCGACCACAGCGAGCTGCCGTGGCTCCCGCGCGGAGCTGCGGCGCCGGTGCCGATTTCTGCCGGCAAGCACCTCCGACTTGTCTTCACAACTTCTACAGGAGAGGAGGTCTCTGTTTTCCTACATCCAGAGGCTCTAATTCCCCCTGTTCTTTATGTCTTCTGAGCTCCTCTCGGAATAAATGAGAGCCAAGCGCACAGCTCGTACTGCTGAACGTCACAGCTATCCTAAAGCCAGACCTGTGGGTTAGGGCTCATCGCAGCTCCTTTAGCCTTCTGCTCGTCGCGCTCACCTCACCCCTCGGTTTTTGCAGAGAAGGAAGTGTGGCCGCGCAGTTACCGTGAGGGTTAGAGAGATCACTGCAGCTCCTAGCCTGGCGTTTGGCATGTCAGTACATGTTCCCAGGCCAGGCTTCTACAGGGCTAAACCGGTGGGTTTTCTGATTTGCACCAGGTCTAAATTCATGAAGACACATCGACACCCAGAAGTTTAAATTATATCCTGGGCAGACATTTTAAAAAGCGCTGGTTATGGATAAATAACCACCTACGTCAAAATTAGAAGTGCAACACATGGTCCAAGCTTACAACCTCACACTGAAGAGAATGTTCAGAATTAAAAAAAAAATTAGACCATAAGCAGTAATACGAAGTACAGCCTGCAGTCGAGGTGAGGATGGGGGCCTGGAAATGCAAAGTTTATCAGCCTGGCCTAGAAAGCCATCGTGTATTTGCATAGCTGCACTCGGGGAGCCTGAGCGTAGTGACACACAGATGGAGATGCTGTTTTTTCCTACGCACCTCCGAGGACAGGATTTCCCTTTTCCTCCCCAACCTCAAACATCTCCATCCAAGGAAAAGCTGCAAACGCCATGAGGATCAGCAGTGGGGACCGAGGGTAAAGCTGGGAAGAGAGCTGGCTCCCACTTGCCTAGATCAGCCGAGACCCGGGCTCCAGAGCTGCTCCTCTCCTCGCTCTTCTCTGCTCTGGGACGCGGTGCAGAGAGCTCCGGGAGTGCTGGGAGCGGATGCACGTGCCGCCGTCCCCTCCTCCACAGACACCCACAGCCCCTCCTCGGGCGCTTAGCAAGCCTACAGCTGCATCCCGCCCTGCATAGGAAGGCCTCGGTGCCTTTCAAGGGGAAGCAAGACCAGACTCACCGCAGCTCTCTGGAGTTCGTGGGTAACCGAAGCAGTATGAATTTCTGCCGTAACGCTGCTGCAACCCAAGGCTGTACTGAACCCTGGGTAGGATGTGGACGCATCCAGCCCAAGAGTTCAGCCGCCTCGGGAGCTTTTACAGTTTGGCCTATAGGTGCAACCGGTTGTGTTTCGCATCAACCCACTGCCTCTGACCAGACCTCAGCCACGAGAAACGGGGAACTTCTGCTGCAGACCTGACTGCTCACTATGAAGGATGGCTGGTCGGCGCAGGAGGCCAGTGCCCGAGAAGCAGCTGACTCGTGATTCTTCACGCTTGCCGTCTGCCAAACTCTTAGGAAGCGGCAGGCTGCGACTGTGGCCATCACTTAAGAGGAACTTTCATTTTCAGTTTCCTTCTCAAGATAGTTTCTTGCAGCGCTTTCTTCTCTTGCAACACAGACACTGCAGCCCTTTCGCACGCACACGCATCTGGGACCGGTAGCTACGTCCCCGTCAGCACGCTGCCGGCCCCCAACCTGCTCCCTGGGGAGGACCCTAAACTCCCGCTCCAGCAAAGCGAGTGAACACCCAAGATATCTCACTGCCAGCCTCTGCTGGGGGTCAAAATGCCTCAGCCCAACCTCTCCAGTATCGAGAGTGCTGCCGCCCACATTCCTTCTGCTTCCCAGCCCCTTCGATTTGCCCCTTCGATTTGCCCCGTTCCCCCTGTTTTATGAGAATACCGTGCTGGAGGAGAGCAGGGAGCGGCGTGAAGGAGGATACGACACCCGTACACTTACAGACAGCCCAAGGCTGCAGAAAGTGAAGGCTCTCCGGGACTCGAGACAGGGCTCAACAGAGGGTTTGAGGGAAGCTGCAGGTTACTGGGAGCAGTGTCTAATTCTCAACAACTGCTAAAATATTCAGCTCCACCCTGATTTTTTGCTCTTGTAGGAGGCTGCAGAGGGTTAAAAGCAGCAGGCAGCAGCCAGGATATGGATTTAGCAACCCCTCCACGATGGCACAGGAGTCATCTTTATAAATGAGCACGTGCCATGCAAAGAATCAGCCTTCCTGAAACCTGCCATTCTTCACTATAAAAACAAAGACCTTTGCCTCAACTGTTTCTCAGTTCACCCTCATCTTCTTTCCTTAAAGGTCTCTGACATATTTCCTGTCTGCTCTCCTGACGTGCTCACCACTTCTCCCAACTCGTCTCCAAAGGAAGGTGCCTGGGTGCAGGGAAGATGGTGGGACTGGCCCAGAGAGGGAGGCAGAATTGCAAACTGCAGGAGGGGAGAGGATCTGCAGGAGCAGCCATAA